TGATTTGTTTTACTGTTTTTTTTTTTTAATTTCTATATCATTGATTTCTGTTCTAATCTTTATTATTTCTCTTCTCTTGCTGGATTTAGGCTTTATTTGATGTTTTTTTTCCGAGCATGTATCTGTTTTGGGGCCACCTCCGCCGTTAGTTTCAGATTACCTTTGTCACATTCACATTCTTTGGTTGATGAGGAAATCTTAATATCTAGGAAAAACTATTTCCTCTGTTTTCTTTTTCTTTAAAAATTTTCTCCAGAGTCTTGCCTTTCAGATTTGCTAGAAGAATGTTAGAACTGTTTTGTCAGGTTCCAAGGGCAAGGCTGTTGGATTTTCAGCTTAAATTGGAAGACTCTGTAGATTAATTTGAGAACTTAATCTTTGGAATAAGTTTGTCATGTAGCACATTGCTTTTTTTTTTTTTTCCAGGTTTTTGATGTTTTTTTGCTTATGCTTTATAATTTTTTCTGCTGACATCTTACATATTTTCACTCACTCTTCACCCTGGATGGTTTCTGTTCATCTTTATGGTGCATCTGGAGAGTTCTTCCTTTAGGAGACTTTCCTTGTCCCCCTTCTGGGGTAAGTTGTTCTTTCTAAATGCTCCCAGACAGTTTTTCACATTGTATTTTGCTGTCTCTCTGTCTTTCTCTCATAGACTGTAAAGTTCTTGAGAGCAGGGTTTTAGTCCTCCTAGTCTCAACTTCCTAGTCTACATAGTAATTGAATCTAGTAGTACTCAAATGATTATTGAATGTAGGTGTGAATTAATACAGTAGTGAATGGATGACAAAATAGAGGTCACCTGTTACTTTCCTGCCTTATGTGTGTCCCTCTACGTTATGTTTTCGTGATGTTATTTGTTCCATTAAGGAAGATAATAATGTTAAAATCAAATATTTGTCTTAAATTACTGAAAAATTACGGAGTATTATTAGAAAAGTTTTATAAATCCTTTTACTAATATATGATTTTAAGCACCGCAAACCAGAAATTCTTGGACTTCAGTTTTAATGCTTTCTTTACAGTATTTTTTCACATGACAAATTACAGAAATTCTTTACAGTATTTGTTTATATGACAAACTACAACAGTGAGTGATTTTTAGGAAATACATATTTTAAGTTGTATACATTCTCTAATCTCCCTACTTTTTTATTTTATTAAAATTTTATTTTACCTTTTTTGTGTGTGTTCCAAGATTCATTTTTTACGTACCACACCCAGTGCTCCATGCAATACATGTCCTCCTTAATACCCACCATCAGGCTCACCTAACCCACTCACTCCCATCCCCTATAAAAGCCTCAGTTTGTTTCTCAGTCTACAGTCTCTCATGGTTCATCTCCCCCTCTGATTTCCCCCAACTCACTTCTCCTCTCCATCTCCCTATGTCCTCTGTGTTATTCCTTATGCTTCACAAGTAAGTGAAACCATATGATAATTGGCTCTCTGCTTGACTTATTTCACTCAGCATAATCTTCTCCAGTCATATCCATGTTGCTACAAAATTTGAGTAGGTGGTCATTACTCTGGTCCAGTCTCCCAACCCCTGCCCCTCAAGCAAGCATTTTAAAATGGCATTTGATAATGTCTGTCATAGAAAGATGCTCATAAGTAGGGGGAAAAGGAAGTTACAGAACTATGAGTCATGATCTCATTTTGGCAAAAAACATGGAAACCATATTTTGTATATGGAGAATAATCTGAAGAGAAGTACATTAAAATAGTAACCATAATTATTCCTTGAAATTTGGGGACTTTTGTACATCTTAGACTGTTTACCATCAGCTGCTGGAACTGGAATCCACACTGCCCTCTCTAAAACTGTAATACCACTTATCTTTTTTTAGTGTTACTTTAGAACTTCCTTAATTTAGATGATTTTTCGCAAACTGGTAGATTTGCTTTGTTACCATTTCTCATATATTTGTGTGGACATATTGATAGATTTATTACTATTCAAGGTCTTATACTATTTTCGCTGTAATTTGAAAAACGTAAAAATTTATGCTTTTATTTTTGGTATCATGGGAATTAAAGGCAAATGATTTGGGATTTGATATCCTTCAGATTTAAAGCTGGAAGCATGTTTCCTAGGTCGTTTGCATTGTGAATGTAGTTTTTTGGTGTTATGGCTCAGAAGTGCAGGTTCAGTGTGATGGAGAAGAGACTAGATTGATTAGTGGAGGAAGCCTGGAGATGGGTTTTGGACTTGGTTTGTCAACAAACACATAGTTAAGTGACTTTAGGATAATCACATAACATTTATGGTGATAATTTTCTTTCCTCTAAAGTGTTAGGTTTTGGACTGGATGATCTCTGGTGTTCTCCTGGACCAAATATTGACAGCATTTTAAAAAGTTTCAGCTAGAAAGGGATAGATTTATGGGTTATTTATTTATAACTGAACCCAGACTAAGGAGGTAAAATATTTAAAACTGTTAACAAAATGACACACCCAGATATACAGGAAAAAGACAACTAGAACTGTAGAAAAAGACTCATAGATGGCAAGAGATCTAGAAGATAGCTGTGTAATACTTCAGTTTTCATGGAGCAATATCCCCATCTTGTGGCTTTGTTTTTTCCTTCACAGACATTGGTGGTTGGGTGAAATAAAGCCAGTGCTCTAGTCCTGAATTTGAAAATATGGCTCAGTGTTTTTTTGGTTTTTGTTTGTCTTACACTATAAAAGTAAAATAGTCTAAGCTGCTACAACTTTTTAAATGTTAGTATTGTCAGTAATAGATCTATCAGTTTTAGAACTATTTTCCCAGAAAGCTATATAAAGAAAGGGTGAAAAGTTTAGCAGTAACTAGGTTTATCATTTTTATGGCACTTATGTAAAGAGAAACATTAATTTTACATTGTTTGCTTTGTTGTTTTGGATGCTCATCAAGGTCGCTTGATTGAATTGTTTATAACGAGGAGGAAACATTTATAATAATTTATAATAATACAAATTTATAATAATCCTTGGGGAATGACTTCATAAGGGCAAGGGTAATCAGGTTCATTTAGGATTACTTTAAAAACTCAGTAGCAATATATTGTGGAGGTAATGACTATACAGTTACAGGAAAGTAGCAATGGTAGGTAAATAGAAAACTTACAGCTTAGGATAATATTTCTAGGGACCACCCCACAGGGTTGTACAAAGAGCTTTTCTTCTCACATAGCTTTGATGGAGGTTAATAGAAACAGATACTGAAATGACCATCATAGTCAGCATTGAGTTTAAGATGGATTACCTTGTTTAGTTTTCACAGTGATTCTGTGGGTAGGAACTACTGTTAGTTACCTCACTTTTATAGATGAGAAAATAGGGCTGGGGTCACATATCAAGTGGTTAGCAGAACTGGACTTTGGCAGTCTGATTCTTATATCTGTGCCAGGATATGCTGCCTGTGTAGTTTGTACTGCTGTGTAGCTTGGTGGTTAAAAGTGGCTTTGGTCTAGAAATTGAGGATCTGTCTCTTACAGCTTGTGTGACTTTGGGTAGGTCACCTAACTTCTTTATATCCCAATTCCTACAATGGTAAAATGGGTGCTTTTAGGATTAAATGGGATGATTTGCTTGAAGTAGCATACAGCGTATGCTAAACAAGTGGTTATTGATAATCATAATAGTTGTAATAATGACTATTCTTGTTTCTTGTGATTTATGACAGCTCCATATTTTTGTGGCCCAAGATTTTCAAGCATTTTTTTTTTTTTATAAAGCACAGTACGTAAAATGGCTAGTGTTCTCTTAAGTTACAGTATTTATTGCTTTTTCATTGTATGTCCGGAAGGATTAGTATGAATTAATAAGTGAAAGATGTTTTGGTTTTACGAAGAGAGAGGTTACACAAATTGACAGTTGCTTTAGAAGAGATGTCTCTAAAAAAAATAAAAAAGAGATGTCACTTCTTTCTGCTTCATCGTTGTGTGTGTGCATGCATGAGAGGGAGTACACAAGAATATATGTGCAGTCTCCAGAACCAGAGAGAGAGGCTTCTGGGGACATTTACCTAATTTTTTCAAGACTTACATGGTGGGACTGGGGAATGTTTCAAGCTTGATGTTGTTGAGAACATGCGAGACCACAAGATCTATCCTTTGGAGAGGCCAGGCCAATAATTTTAGGAAAGGTTGTGGTCAGTTAGAAGAATCATGGTTGGATTCTAGGGATTGGAGTTCACAGTGGTGGCAAAGACCAGGTTTACTGAGAATGAAAGAGAAAACTTGAAATACTAGGGAATTCTAGGCAGAGGGGAAGACATCTGTGTTAAGATTTTAAAAATCGAGTAGGGGTGATGAGGTCTAAAGAATGGGAGGTGTGAGAAGGACCAGTGGATCATGAATAATTTGCTGGGTTGGGCCCAGAGGTGAAGGGTGGGTCCTAGGAAACTGTTACATTCATGAGGAGAGTTATTCTCAAATGGAGGAACTCTCCAAGTGATGATTAAGTGGCATTCTGACATGGGAGAGGTAAGATCCTATTGTTTGGGGCCAGAATAGTAAAGGAGACTGACTGGGGACTGTGGGTGGTTCTGCTTCAGCGTTCTAGAAAAAAATAGTACTTTCTAGTGCCTTTTTTAAAGTTGGAACATAATTCCATTCTTTAAAAAGCATTAGAGAGTGTATGTTAATGAATTTGAGCTTTTATGAACGTTCTCATATTTGCCCATTTATTTGATGCAGTGTTCTAGGCTTGGGACAGAAATCTCAGTTATGGGAAAATACTCATTTTATAGTGATTTCCTTAGGATTGATTTATATCAGGACAACATTAATTAGGAATTTATATACATGATCTGTATTGCAATTAATATTTGGTACAGTGCTTTCTCTTTAGTGTTTTCATTTTGACTAGTTTTTAAATTGAGCATTTTCTGGGGCAGAATGCTTAAAGGGAATTTGGTCTTAAAGGTAAATTTGGAAAAAGTTGAATTTGAATATATGCACCTGTTTTAATTATGGGCTTTTTACATTTACATTGACATTCTTTTGTACAGGAGTTAAAGTTCCTCGTAATTTTCGCTTGTTGGAAGAACTTGAAGAAGGACAAAAAGGAGTAGGCGATGGTACGGTTAGCTGGGGCCTTGAAGATGATGAAGATATGACACTTACAAGGTGGACAGGCATGATTATTGGGCCACCAAGGGTCAGTGCTATAAATTATATATTTTTTCTATTACTTACTGTCATTTTAGAGTAAGAATTTTATTTTATATTAATATTAAAATAATTATCACTTCTAACTGAAATAATTCCTCCCTTTTAATTTAGTTTGTATACGTTTATTGATGCTTCCTGTGTATAGGATATAATGCTTGATTTTATGGAGGACTGGGGGGAAAAATACGGTCATTGCCCTCAAGGTGTTTGCAGTTTAGTGGAGAAGAAAAAATAAATACAAATGACAGATTCTAACTATGGCAGAGAAAGTTCACTACGGGACTTCAGAATATGTTTCTTCTAGCTGGAATAATTGAGGAAGGCTGAACAGTGGAGGAAGTTGCCTTTGGAATGAGCCTTAAAGGACTGACTGGTAGGATTTCAGAAGGTGGTGATGGGGATGGAGAACATTCCAGATAGAGAGGAGAAAAGGTGAGGAAATGGAGGGGTATTTGGGAAGAGCAAACAGTGTATTTTGATGTAATATGTTACTAATCTGCTGTGTGTGTAACCAAGGGTTTCTAAATTGGTTTGTATTGAGTGCACACTGCTGTTTGCCCTTTTGACATTTGACTTGCCTTGTAAATGCTATAGGTATTAATTTCTTCATTAATAAAGTATATAGAAAAGTCTGATTTTTGTATATTTTCTTTTGTTGGCAACAGGCCCATTGTGTTTTATTCTTTGATCTTTCTCAAGGTTTTAAAGTTTTATTTTTACTGAAAATCTTTTCAGACTGGGAAATATTTTGTACATTGCATTCCTTACTCGAAGGTCCCATTTACTGCATTCTTGGCAGTGAGTCTTTGAAATATGTAATATGTATTGTGTAATGTTTTGACTTGCTGGAAAGAACACTAATTTGAAGGTTTTTTTTTTTTTTTAAGTCTTCGGTTTTATATACTAATGGCTACCTTATGGGAGCATTTCAACTGTTTTGCTGTTGGGTAGGGTTTAGATTTCCTCTTGATTATTACAAAAGAAAAATGGATCCAGGTAATCAACAGTGTTAACTTTAGTGAGTGAATTAAAGTATGTTTTATATTTTCTGGTATTCCTTTGCAAAATTTGAGCACAGTACTAACCTAACAAACTCTGACTTCCTTCTATTGCTTTGATTTTTCCATGAGATATTTGAGGAAGGAAATGTAGTACTGATGGTTAAGGTTCTTGATTTATTTTATAACTTGGTATTTGTAATGAAAACCATGATTTTCATTGCCTATGAACATGATTACCATGTTTGGTTAAAAAAAAAGTGATTTAATTTATCAGCATTCTTAATGAATAGTTTGAAGATTTGACAGTCTGAACTTGGTAGAATATAAATTTGAAATTATTTAGATTTAGTTTTTCTCCAGGCACTACCTCCAGAGGACTTTAAACGTTAGGAATGTTTTAGAGCTTGTGTATGAGTTCCTCAGTGATTCTGTGGGCTGTCCCATAACATAAGCAAATATGGAAGAGCAACTCCCACTTGATCTCACACTTTTGGGGTCACCAGCAGGACTCCCTGGACTAGGTGTCTTTCCTGGTGTCACTAAACTGCAGGAAGCTCTTGTGTCCAGGCTGTGCCAGTGCATAGTGAAGCTTGCTCTGCTTGGGGGAGGAGATCTGGCTTGCTTGAAAAGGTCATGTAGACACAGTGCTGCCAGTGGCCATGCTAGGCTTCTGTTCATTGGGCTTTCCCCTTTCTGGGGGTGGGGATCTTGGAGCCTCTTCTCACTTCCAGGCAAGAGGGGAGCGCCTCATAAAGGCACAGTGTCTTTCTAGCCAGCCAGTGAGTTCTGCCCTGTATCACCCACCCTCTCTCCACTTAACCTCTCTCGCTAAGGCATGTGGGACCCGCTGGGGTGAGTGCTTGTACACTCGTTCAGTTGCCTTTTAATAAAATCTGCCGGGGTTGATGCCTCATTTTAGTTGTTTTCTCTTTAGAAGGTGCCATGTTTAGAGCAGTTGGAGAATTAAATGGCTTACTTAGACAACAGGAAGGTGTCTGACTATAGTATATATTTAGTAAATATTAGTTCCTTTTTTACTTTTTTATTTTACTATTTTACTAGATAACAGAAGGATAGGGCTGTTTTTTAAAATTTAGAGGTTATAAAATTAGCCCATGGTGTCCAAAGCTAAGACAATGTTTACTCTAAGCATTGAATTAGACCAAAAGGCTAACTTAGTTTTTTTAACTTACAAAAAAAAAAAAAATTGAGGTATAATTTACATATAATGAAATGCACAAATCTTACCATGAATTTCCAAAAAGATACCTGTTGCCTATACTCCAGATACAGAACATTTCAATTACCTCTGCCTCTTCCCACCTTCACCCCAGGCACTACTTCCTGCACCTTGGAGCAGTTTTGCAGGTTGTAGAACTTTGTGTAAGTGGAATCATGTAGTGTTTGTATTTGCTGGTCTGCTTCTTTTGACTTAGTATCTTAGAGATTCACCTGTTTGTGCCATATAGTAGGAGTGTGTTTCTTTTTATTTTTGTGTAGTATTTTACTCTATGGATATATACAATATGTTTATCAGTTGTGTTCATGGTATTTGGATTTTATCTACTTTGTGCTTATTAGAAATAAAACTGCTATGAGCATTCTTTTAAGACTTTTGTGAACAATGTTTGTTTCCATTTTGGTGGGGTGGGTAAAATGCTTAGGAATGGAATTGCTACATCATAGGGTATGTGTACACTTACTTCTCTCCATAAGAAAATGTCAGATTGTTTCCAAAATGGTTATACCATCCTCTACTCCCAGCAGAGTGTGAGTCTGTTTGTTTCCACATACAGTGAGTATTTCTAACATTGTACAATTTCTTGAGGGCTGTTATTTTTTAATGCAAGTTTTATAGAGAGGCTAATGTATATCCAGATTGGAGAACCACAGACTGGATGATTTCCTTGAGGTGTCCCTGATTTTAGTCCTTTCTATACATATCCAAAGCACTGGGCATGTTGTTAATGGATGTGTGCTGTTAAACTGGGATGACTTTTATATAGGTGTTTCTTTCTAAAGTGTCAAAATATTTAATAATCATATGTACAAGATTGTTGCACACATTTTAAATTACAGTAGTTTAATATCCCAGATCTGACCTCCACTTGGGAATAGCTCTTACTTAAGGGAAAGGAAGCTGTGGATCAGTTTGGGTAAGTGAAATCTATAGATGGTTAGCTTAATTTTTTTTTCCAGGTTTATGCAGGAACCAACAGGTATTAAATTTGTCACTTTCATTTATTTTTTACTTTACTATTATTGATTGTACATTAATGAGTTAACCAAGTGAGCAAAAGCCGTAAGGATAAAGAGTTAATTATAGCATGAAAATAAGTCTAAATAATCTGCAAGTATTTTAGTTTGGTTGCTTTAAAATAGTTGTTTAATAATATGGTGACGTTCAACTTCTTGATTAAGAAACTATTTTAAAATGATACAGAGACATACATTTTGCTGTTGTATCTCTGAAAATGGAATTTAATGAACCTCAAAGTTAATAAAGTAATAGAAATATAATAAGGCATGAAATAATTATGTTTTATTACAGTAAGATGGTATAATATGCTGTTTTCCCTTTGGCTAGAAGTTTCTGATTGCTGTATAAGTGGAATAACCGTGTAAATTATTGTCCAGCCAGCCCCTTTTGAGAGTGAATAAGTATAGTTAATAATTAATACTGGGACAGTGGGAATAGATAGAATTGTTCTGGACAAATGGGAACTTGTATCTATGTGTGACACAAGTCAGTAGTCCTTCCCCATACAATATAAACTTTTTTTTATTAAAGTCTGAATTTGTTTTGTTTTTTTCATTTTAATTTGTTATAGGCATTGTTTGTGCCACAAAAAGCAAGTTCTGTCTCTTGATATTACTTTATAGAATAATTTTAATATTATAAAATCTTGATTTTTAAGTATGCTTGCTCCATTTTTTTCTGACCATATAAGTCAAATAAATTTAAATGTAGAAAAGTAAATTCTTGATCATAAAGTAATGTCAGATATATTCATATTGTACTTTTCTTCTTTAATTAGTAATTGAAGATTATTATTATTATTATTTTTTGCCTTCCAGACAAATTATGAAAACAGAATATATAGCCTGAAAGTAGAATGTGGACCTAAATACCCAGAAGTTCCTCCATCAGTTAGATTTGTAACCAAAATTAATATGAATGGAATTAATAATTCCAGTGGAATGGTAAGTTAAAATAGTCATTTTATTCCTGTATAATGAATAATATATAGTCAGGAGAAAGTTAAAATTTAAAAAGGACTTCGTTTAGCTGGAAGTCTAAAAGAAATTAATCTTATGTTGTTTTTCTCGTATATGTCAACCTATCCTTAAAAAACTTGTATGTACCAGCCTAGATAAGATGTTGACAACAGTTTTCTTAGGGTTTTATTAATTGCTTCAGTAGTCATATTTTAGTTGAATCCTTATTTGGTGAAAAGATGACCATTATTTCTCTTTGAATGTTGTTTTCTTTAAGGTTAAGGTATATTTGGTGAGTTTAAAAGGATGAATATTCTTAAAGAGGAGGCTTTTCTTTGAGTGAAAGTATGTCTGTATTAGAACAAACAGGTTGAACATTGTTGTATGTTGAAAGCAAATAAACCAAAATGACATGCTCGACCAGATTCACACAGGGAAGGCTGAATTTCAGTATGAGTAAGTTGTTAAGGTTCATGTTAAGACTTTTTAAAAAAATACGTTATTTATTTATTTGACAGAGAGCAAGAGAGCACAAGCAGGGGGAGGGGCAGAGGGAGAGGGAGAAACAAACTCCCCCCCCCCCCCCCCCCCCCCCCCCCCCCCCCCCCCCCTCAACAAAAAAAAAAAAAAAAATATTTATTAAAATTTAAAAAAAAAACAAAAAACAAAAACAA